AAATACATCATGTGCAGTAGCTGTCGTTTCAAGAGGTTTTCAAAAAAGAAACTCATCTTTAAAGTCGCCATCATTAATATACCTCACGTAAACCAGTAACTGTGAACAGTTTGCAACATCTGTAGATTCATCAAGTGGATGCTAAATATTGGAAGTGGAGCAGATTGAATTTCCCGGATTACCTGATTAAGAATATCAGCAAACATGTCATCTATTCTTCTGTGGACGGTGTCATTAGATAAGGAAATTGCACTCAATTTTGTAACAAATTTATCCCTGTTCACAACTCAAACAATGTTTTTGGCCACTGGCAACAATAAATCCTCAGCAATGGGGAAAGGTTTCATAGCTCTGGTGATTCTGAGTACCACCAAATAGGAAGCTTCTATGACTGCTTCGTTTTGTTTGTGGTACTTGCCACCAGTGTGAAGTCTGGCTTTCTTGAGTCCATCAGCTTTGCTTCTAAAATAGTTGGTATCATTGCCAGCAAAGTTCGGATGCTTGCTATCAAAATGGCATTTTAATTTGCTCAGCTTTATAGATTTGGCTGATAGAACTTCACAACAAATAACACAGTGTGATTTCTGAATTCCTGCTGTAATTATTGAGGTAAAACCGTACTGTAAAAATTCTTCACTATATTTTCTTTTCCTTATGTTCTTCTCTACACAATCCATTGTCATGAGATAGTTTGCTAATGAAAATAATATATAACAAAAGCTTTAATAATACAAAAAATGATGCATGTCATAGTTCAGTCAATACAGTTCACTAAAGTTTCCTATGATTTACCTTTTTTTTTTTACATACCTGTTACTATCACAAGAGGGCAGTATTTGCATCAACCACAGCTGGATATAAAAAGACTGATCAGCATCCAGATTAAGTTCCCTTGGTTCAGATATATATATATATATACAAAAAGACTGATCAGCATCCAGATTAAGTTCCCTTGGTATATATATATATATAGCAGTAGTTGATGATTTTACATTTACCCAGTAATTATAATTCATGATGTGTCATTTTACTGCTAATACTGCTGCTTTCAACATAGTAGCTGCTTTTAACACAACAGCTGCTTTCTACACAATAGCTGCTCTCTGCACATGTGTGACTGCTCTGCATAAGTACATTATGGAAAAAAAAAGTACTCTATAGTGCCAATCCTGTCACATACACCTGTATTTGTACAGGGTGTTTGTGATGGGATTGGCGCAATGATGTCATCACGCTGGACCTTGTATGTGGGTGTATCTGCACGTGGGAAGACCCACCTGGAGATGAGTAGAGGAGCAGTGTCTTGGTTCCTAAGATCATCGGAAATATGTGTTTTCCGATAGGCTTAGGTGACCCCTATGAAAAGGTCTTTTGACCCCCAAAGGGGTCGCCACCCATAGGTTGAGAACTGCTGCTTTAGAGGATGACAGGCTAATGATTCCTGAAGAAATGCAGGTATAGATAATTTCATATGATCATTGCAAAACCTATTAATCACTTCTTATAAACCTGCTTTTGTCACATCATTTAAGGTATCTAAGTTGCTTGATTTTCACTGGATTTTTGGAGCAGTTTGTAGGTAGTAAATCCCACTATTTGCTTCTGTCTCGCATTTCAGATAAACAGAGTTTCTCAAATCAACCTGATCACTGGCTTTTGTTGAAACAGTGCAGACAATCCTGCACTCATTGTTTTCTAGCAACACTGGTGTGAAAGGAATGTTTCACAGAACTTAAATACAGAAGACCCAAAAACATACAAGAAAAGTATTCTCATTGTGTGAGCATTATAAAATTATTTTTTGCAAGGCACAAGACAACGATAAGGCTCCTTAAACATTATTTTGCCAATCATAAAGTTTTAAAGTTTAATTTCTTTCATAGATCTTCTCCCTCTCCCCCAAAACGAAATTACCTATAGATCAGCGGTTCTCAACCTGAGGGGCGAGGCCTCTTTGGGGGTCGAATGACCCTTTCACAGGGGTCGCCTGGTTCATAACAGTAGCAAAATGGCCGTTATGAAGTAGCAGTGAAAACAATTTTACGGTTGGGGATCACCACAACATGAACTGTATTAAAGGGTCATGGAATTAGGAAGGTTGGGAACCACTGCTATAGATATATACAAGGTAGAACTGCTCCTGTAAGTTTCTTAGACTGTAACTCTTTACAGGTGTTGAAAGCCTTGTCTTTTTCCCATGGAGCAGCTGGTGGCTTTGAACTGCTGATGTTACTTAGCAGCCCAACATGTCACCCACTCTAGGATATTTCAAGTCCAGCCTGAGTAAATGTTCTTGGGAGCATGTTGTGGGAGGAAAGGAGCCAGAAGGCTTCCTGAGGTATGCTAGCTAGCTGGATTTAGAGGACACAGAATAAACGATATAAACAGATAGAGGGGGGAAAAGTCTCACCAGCATCTCTTGTCTCTCTCTATATGAAGCACTTAGTTCTTTTGAGCTCTTTAACACTTTCCATAGATTTGAACCAACACCTTTTTGTTACTAGCCTATTGCTTAGCTGTTTGTAGTACTGCCCAGAGCCTCCAATTTGTTACATATGATAACAAATTGACCCAGAACTTGTTGTCCCCCTCCCCATTACTGTTTTCACAGTTTTGAAGTTTATAGAATTAGTTTATATTCTAGTTAGAATTTCAGTTCCAGGTATAAAAAAATAAGTTAAATATTAGGTGACGACTTTATGTTTATATATTCCTTTCCTTCCCAGTTACTTTTAGAATATAAATTTGAACTCAGATGTCCTTCCAGGTCTGTCCCAAGATGCATACTTGGCAGTGTCCCATCTCACTTAACATGCTCAGGGGAGTGCTCCAGCTCAATCTGAGGGCCTTCTGGGAGGAGCCTGAAAGATGGGGTCCCTGTGGAGAATGTTGATGGCAGTCTTGGATAACAATGACAGCCCACTTCTGTAACTCCAGGAAGTTAGTGAGTTGTAGATTCATTAGCAGTGCATTTTAATGCAGTTATTTCCCCCCCCACCCCCACCCAATCACCTCTGAATGCCTGGAAGAAAGTCTCTATATTTAAAGAGCAAAAAAAAAAAAATTTTTTTTACTTGTTGAACTAAGTGGAGAATCACTTAACCCCTGAGGAAAACTCCCATATTCTGGGTTCTTTTAAATTTAAGCCCCATGAAAGGTTTCCCTCCTTCCTCTCTTTTGGTGTTGAATGTCCAAATTTTAGAAGCACTCCCCATTAGGTTGCACTCTAACACTGGAAGTTGCTTGCATAAGCTTATTGTTGAATGCCTCTGTCATACTAGCTACATGAAAATGGTTAGAATGTATGTAAATATAGAAAAGTACAACAGTCTCATCCATTATATGAATAAATCTGAAGAACCTCAAGATCCTCAGATGTTAAATCATATAACTCATGAAATAAATTTAGCCCAGCCAAGCCAATGATGTATTTGAATTCATAAAAACTAGAGACTGGGAACCGATTACATGGAACTGTGTGTGACCTCCTCCCTGGGGGACAGACAACCAAAAAGTGGATGAAGGGAGACGTCGGACAGGGCAAGATATGACAAAATACCCATTTATAAACTATCAAGGGCTCATGTGGGAGGGGGGAGCGGGGAGGGAGGGGAAAAATGAGGACCTAATGTCGGGGGTTTAAATGGAGAGAAAATGTTTTGAGAAACGATGTACAAATGCGCTTTACACAATTGATGTGTGTATGGATTGGGATAACAGTTGTATGATCCCCTAATAAAATGTTAAAAAAAAAATTAATCCAAAAAAAAATAAAAATAAAAACTAGAGACAGAGATAAATGTCCCTCAGAATAACCCCTGATAAAACCTGATAATTCTGTATACCCATTGCACCAGCTGCTGAGGAGTCAGTCCAACTCAGGTCAGACCCATGTATGTCAGAGTAGAACTGTGCTTTCAATGGCTCTGATTTTTTTTTCTCTCTCTGATCTTCAAGGAATAGATTACCAAGCCCCTGCATAGACTTGAACATCTAATGTTAAGTTAGTAGTCTAAGACTTCACCCATTGTACCACTCAAAGACTGTTGAGAGATGTTAATTTTGGGATAAGCATAAATTATGGAGGTTTATGGGGCAGTGTGGGCTTAAGTAACAGCATCCTTTGGTTTGTGGTTGGAAAAATAGAGGATAACTTACGATAAGGCATATTTTTCTGAACTCCTTGTTACTAGAGCTGGTAGAGATGGTGTAATTATTAGCTTGCAGAGGATGTGGAGAGGTAAGAGCCTGCAAGGACTCTGATGGGCCATGTTTCAGGGGCAGGGCTTCCTCAGCCTTACTGCAATAATCTTGTTGCAAAGCTAGAGCTGCTTTAGTCTAGCTCGAGTACTGACATTTGAGTTTTTAGGTCTCATGCTTGCTGCTCACTCATGTTATAAAACATCCAGCTGGCATGAAGTCAATTGCCACAAGAGGGAGGGAAATGTAAGAGAGTCGGGCTCACAGAGGAGATGTTTAATCCAAATACAGATTTTGAAGTTCAGCAAATTTGGCAAAGCATAAAATTTAAAGAGTTAGTAGCATCTAAAGAGCTTCTATTTTATCCAAATCATTTGGTACTAAACAGAATATGTATTTTAAAAGAGCCCTGTTTGTTAAATTTGTTTTTAACAAGAATATAGCAAATCAGAGAATGAAAGATTAAATATTGGCCTGTAGTAATAAGGTTCCCTTAAGAAAGCTAAAACTACAATGTGCTTGAAGTGTGAACTAATCTCTAGGAAAGCGCAATTATTCCAGCATTCTCTATGGGCTTTAAAAATTGCTGCTGTATCAGACAGGAAGTTAACCACACCAGAACTAGGCAGAAGTAATCCCAAACCCACAAGAAAAAATTCAACAATTAAGTTTCACAGATGGTCCTAGATATTTTCTGTAAATTTAGTAAATTGAGATTTTCCTACTGTGTAAAAGATTTTCATAATTTCTATCTTCTTTCTCTCCAGAGATATAATCTACTCATTTTTCCTTTTTTTCAGATGAAACCCCCAAAATTCTAATATGGTGCTTATATTGTCTGATGAACAAAGAGCCACAGAATTCTGGAGAAACAAAGTATAACTCTTGGATACAGGTAAAGCCTTTTCAAATTTGAGTTAACTTGATTATTTAAGTGTTTTGCTTTGCTTTGTTTTTGTGTGCATTATTGTCTCTGCACGTCTATCTGGACAAGATAGGTGAAATAACCAATCTGGAGGAGAGAACAATGAGGCCAATAGTTCCAGGAGACACAGGAGAAGGTGAGGCGGGGGAAAGGAAGGAGGGGTGCCAAGAAATCCAGGGACAAAGGAAGAACAAGTGATCTAAAATCGAGGGTGAAGAGGACATAGGATGCTTGGGGCAGCTTGATCAAGGGCTGTGAAGCTAAGAGGACTTACAGAAACCCAAACGAAGGCTGAACATGATAATGGGACAAGAGAAAATTAAAAGGAAGTAGAGGAAAGAACTGGGAGGAAAGGGACATTTATAGAGGTCTAAATACATTTATAGGGGTCCAAATTCTGGCATGGATATATGTAAATACATTTATATATAATGATAGAGGAATAGATATATGTACATATATTTATTTATAAATATTATGGCAGCAGATGGACATTAGGCATCATCTCAAATACTCCTTCAACGCAAGAACACTTTGTTCCACTTAACCGGCACTCTGTGATGCTTACCTTCCCTGACATGATCGCTGAATACAAAATGGATGCGTAAGTAAATATGGTGAAGGAAGCTGATGGTACCTGGCTATCAAAAGATATGGCATTTGGGGTCTTAAAGGCTTGAAGATAAATAAGCAGCTATCTACCTGAAAAACAACAAAGCTCACATGGAAGAAGCACACCAGCCTGTGTGATCATGAGTTGTCAATGGGATCAGGTATCAGGCACCAAAGACCCAAAACAAAAAATCATATCGATGTGAATGAGTAGGAGGGTAGAGTGGTGACCCACAGACCATCAGTAGTCAATTGGACATCCCCTGTCAGAAGGACCACAAGGAAGAGAGAAGCCACTCAGGGGCCAGTATAATACCGACACAACACAACTTTCCTCTAGCCCTTTAATGCTCCTCTCCCCCCCGCACCACCTCACTAGCACAACCCCAGTTCTACCTTACAAATCTGTCTAAATCAGAACATGTACACTGGTACAGATAAGAGCTTGCAACACAGGGGATGCAGGACAGATAAAACCCTGAGTATGGGGGAATGGATCACAATGATCGACCCCACAATGTTCGGCCCCCTCCCAGGGGGATCCTAGGCAGCAGAAAATTGGATGAATGGAGACAGTGGATGGTATAAGACATGAAAAAAAAATTATAAATTACCAAGGGTTCATTGGGGAGGAAGGGTGCGGGAGGGAGAAAAAAAAA